AGGGGAGGGAAGGGAGGGAAATCTCCCCTCCGTTTCCCTCAAATCAAATAGGGGGTTAATGTCATGTAGAATCAATTCAAATAATTTTAATATTTTAACTGAAGGTGCATGAGTAGGGTGCCTAACTGCACCATGATTTATAAATACCTTGGTTGATTTTTGCTGGTTGTTCTTTCTCATGGGAAACAGAAAAATGTTTCAGGCTAGATTGAAGCAGGAAAGGGTGGGAAAGGAGAAAGTTCTTGAACATGCTGCTTCAATAAGGCGGGAACGAGAAGGAATAGAAGCTGCTGCAAAAGCAGAGGAGGATAAGATTAAGCTCAAAGCAGAAAGTGAAAGGCAGAAATATGGGGAAGAGATCAAAAGGCTCCAAAATGAGTTATCTGAGTTGAGGATAAAGCTGGATTCTTCAAAAATAGCAGCTCTTAGAAGGAGCACTGATGGTGGCTTTGGCATGTTCTCTTCTACCAGCAAGGGAAACCAGATTTCCAATATCTCTAAAAGGATCTTTGATAGCCAGGATAATCTCAGGAGCACAGGTTTAAAACAAGATTGTGAGTGTGTAATGTGCCTATCGGATGAGAAGGTTGTGGTGTTCCTTCCATGCGCTCATCAAGTCCTTTGTGAAAAATGCAATGAGTGCCATGGAGAAGAGATGAAGGAGTGCCCGATATGTAGGACTCCAATCCAGAGGTGCATTCATGCGCGTTTTCCTTAGCCATAGCCCACAGGCACTTTGAACCTATTTTGCTGGAATGAGTGGTTGTTTGAGCAAGGACTTGAATATATGGGTGAAGTAGAGATCTCTAGTGCTTGGGCCTCTTGTTGTTTTCAAGTTTTGGAATAGTTTAGTTGGTACAAGTGGTTCAAAAGAAAGAAATAGAAAAGAGAAAGACTCAAAAGATAGAGATAGTGAGGATACAGTTAACAGCTTCACAGTTATCTTGTAAAGTTCAGGCTTTTACATATAATATGAAGTTTACCTACATATTTCACCTTTCTTCTGCTACCTGCTTAACTTTATATTAGATTTTGTCTTCCAAGTAATGATCATATATGCTCCTTAAACTTCAGCTACAAGAATACAGTACCTGGATCTGGTGATCTGGGTCAAGCTTAACTTGATGGCAATTGCTTCTCCAATCAACCAGACTTACGTGAGACACATTCTTCTCTCTTGTTATTGCAAAAGACGGAAGATAGGGGAGGGTTTGAGGAGCCATTTTGAAAGTTGGTTATCGTTAGCACTTTGCAAGTTGGTTATAGAGTTGTGAATATGCATGAAGTTGAGATGAACCTTTCAACTGGGACCTAATCTTTAGTGGAAAACGAAAGAAACAAAAGCACAATACGACTTTAAAAGAGAACGCTAGCAATTGCATTTTCTAATTATTGAGAATAACTTTCATGGCTGTGTCCAACACACAAACAATAAAAGGAAGGAGGACTTTGGCCCACGCGCACAAAACTTGTTGTTGACCCTTCAAGGCTTGTATAGATTTTGGAATTTAACAATTAAGCTTAAGCATGCTATGTTATTAACTTCGGTATGCTCAGAGAGGTTAAGGAGACAGACTTCAAATCTGTTAGGATTTGCTTGCACGGTTTTACATTATACCTGTTCTCATCTTTCAATAATTAATTGCTTAAAAATGTCTCCAAAACCCTAATATTTATTGTCATAAATGTCACATCCAAAACATTAATTGTTTTGATTTTCTTTAGTCTGTCCTTCAATGAAAAATATAAAATCTATTACCACAATTTTAGACTGAGATTATGTAGAGGGAATCTCCAACAGCCAAGAAGCAAACAAGATCAGTGGGAAAGCAGGCAGCAAAAGGAAGGGAAAAGTAATTTAAAAAGATTTCAAGGTCAACCCCATGCAATTTGTCAATTGTCATCTCTTGATACAGCAAATCCCAGCTATGCCCACTTCTATATTTTTTCTACTTTCCATATACAAATCAAAACCCTTTACCTAATCTTTAAAATTGTATTCATTATTGAAAACAAAATTTTCAGTGGGTGCGCAATTATTTGTCAGCTTTTTACCCCTGGCCTGTGGTTCTTAATTAATCATTTTAATCCCTGTTTTGCAGGCCATACAGGAAGTTAAGAACCCCCTCTTATGGATGTTGCCAACTTCATAGTCAAATATTCCTAAAATATCACTTTTGAAAGGCAGTTTTTGGTTTGATTCAATTCACCAAGGACTTAACCTAAAAATCAATCAAATTGAGAAGTTGAATATAAAACATCAATCAATTAATCTCATAAGTATATGTAAATTATCCAATCATAATAATTTTTGAAAAATTTCAGCTAAAATATAATAAAAAATTCATATATAGGCTTTACAGCTCAATAATTATAAATCAACCTGTAAAGTATATTTCTCTAATTCAAAGGCTAGGATTTGAATCTCTCAACTCCCGAATTATAAACCTATTATATATATATATATGATAAGGAATTCATGAAAATTGGCTATTAATAACCAAAAAGAAAGCCTAAGCATTTTCCAAGATTACAAGCATAAAAATTGTGTAATTTAAAGGGCTTAAGAAGGGACTTCTTTAATTGGGGATCCTATTGTAATTAATAATTCCCCCTTTATTTGATATTGACATGCTGCTGTTTGTAATCTGAAAAAATGGTAATGAGTTGTGGAACAGGGGATATACAGGGGAATCCACTCCAACTCATATTATATACATAAAATAACAATATATAAATACAAATGTACTTAAAATAGATATACTAGAATCATCCCTTGGAAAAATCTCTGATGAAAAATTGCCTGGGGAGTCACGAACGCCGGATTTCGTGTGGCGTGGCGTTCGAAATAAGAATCCACCTTGTATTTGCATGGGTTGTAGTCGTTGGGCCTTCGTCACTCATATCAATTAATTTTTAATTAATCCATCCCATAAAGTAAATAATAGATCAAATATTATTTTTAGTCTCAAAAATTTTTTTTTTTAGAATAGGACTTTTAAGCTTAATGGTTCGATCTCAAACTTTAAGTGTTTGGATAAGATGGTCGGAGTTTCGAACTCTACTACCTTCGTGAACTCCACCAAAAAGTAGTTTAATGGTCGCGCGCCTCATTTAAGGGGTGAAATGTTCACCCAGTCTGGAGATCGAATCTCAAGTTGCTAACAACTAATTCATACTAAATTCCTAACCATTACCTTTATCAAATTTTTTTTTTAATTTATATTTTTAATATATAGATTAAAAATATTTTTTTATAATTTTTTTTTATAATAAATATAAATATAAATATTAATTTTAATATCATATGCATTTAATTAAATATTTAATAAATTAGATGTTAATTTTTATTTTTTTAATATAAATTTATGATAAAATATATATTTAATATACTCTTAACTTGTACTCTAAAAACACGAGTTAAATAAACTCATTTTTCAATTAAATATTTTTAATTTTGGAAATGTTTTTTTAGTGTTATTTCTTAAATTATAAAAATATATTTTTTATTTTTATTAATTAATTTGTTAAATCAATTCATATATATATATTTTCGAATAAAGTGACAAAGATGAGATTCGAACTTCGAACCCACTAAGAGAGGAGAGGAGGGACTGCACCTTCGAAATGATTCGAAGGATATGATGCAATTCATATATATATATATATATATATATATTTAATTTGAAAGTTCCTTTATTGTTTTATATAAATTTATTTCATGATACTTCAATAAAGTCTCTTCTCAAACAATATTTGTAAACAAACTTGGGATAAGATAAGATTGTCATGCATTATCACCAATAAAGTCATTGTCTTTATTAGTATGTTGTTTCGTCATTTGGACCATATTATACTGTAAAGCACCAAGCGGATGAGAAACCTGCCCTCATGATCCAAAATTCTATTATTTAATAGTTAAACTCTTTTTATTTTTTAGCTGTTAGAAATAATTAATAATTAATAATTGATAAAATAATAAATATTTATTACTTAATTATTTAAAATTATTTAAATACTCTAACTAATTAAGCAACAAAAGTAATAAACTAAAGTTCTACTTAATATGTATGGTCTTGATTTGAGTTTTATATTTTATATTTTTATATATTTAGTAATTAATAATATATTTAAATTAAATTTAATAAATTTAAATTTTTATAATAAATTTAAAATTTTAAATATAATAATAATTATTAAATATATAAAAAATAAAAACTCAAAATCTAAAACTAAAACTATATTAAAAGAATTCTAATAAAATCAATCTAATCACACGCTCTAATAGTATTTTGTAGGTATAGATCAAATTGCAAAATACCTTCTTTATTTTATTTCATGAGATTATTAAA